CCCGGCACTGCCAGGGGGACGGCTGCAACGCCGCGAGCCTGGGTGAGCCTCCCTAGAGCCCCCCCAGGGCCCTGCTCCCCGCCCCCTGCACCCCCCCAGAGCCCCCCAGGGCCCTGCTCCCCGCCCCCTGCACTCCCCCAGAGCCCCCCAGGGCCCTGCCCCCCGTCCCCTGCACCCCCTGTGCCCCCGAGTGCCCTGCACCCCACCATCCCCCCACTCCACCCATGCTCCCCATGCACCCAACCCTGCCCCCCATCCCTGCCCCCCCCGCTTGCAGCCCCACCACCTGGCCCCCAGCGCCCGGCACTGCCAGGGTCGGTTGCAATGCCCCAAACCTTAATTGAGCCCCCCTGCACCCGCAGTGCCCCGAGCTGTGCCTCCATCCTGCATCCCCTACGCCCTTGCTGCCTGCATCCCCGCCCCCCCAGCGCCTGCTACCCTGCACCCCCAGCGCCCCCACCCTGCATCCCCGTGCCCCTCCCGCCTGCAACCCCACACCTCAGAGCCTCTGTCCCACCCTGCACCCCTCAGTGTCCCCACCTGCCCTATCCTCAGCCCATCTGCAGCCTCCCCAGTGCCCCCCACCAGTCCCCCAGTGCCCTGCCCCCACCCCGCCTGCACCCCTACCCCCGACTGCCCCCACTTGCAATCCCAGTGCCCCAACCTGTCCTGCCCCACCCAGCACATTCACCTTCCAGTCCTACTGCCCCTACCTGCCCTCCTCCCCCAGAATCCCCAGTGCCCCTCACCTCCCACTCTGCCCCCCATAGGTGAACGTTGTCTCCCCCCACTGACTCCTCCCTTCTCTCCCTACAGCCCCTGAGCCGACCACCCCCAACCAGCTGAGCTGCCACGCCTGCACCTCGCAGGGCACCTGGTGCCCCCCCTCCGCCCGCACCCAGCTGGGGTGCACTGGGACACAGGACCAGTGCATGGACCTGGACATCACCGGCACGCTGGGTAAGGGGGGGCAAAGAGGGGCGATGGGAGGGAGGGAGGCTGGGGAGATGAGAGATGGGGAATGATGGGGAGGGGAGAACGGGAGGCAGTGGGGGGGTAGCTGGGGGAGGGGAGAACCGGGGCGCTGGGGGGGAAGGCAGTGCGGGGGAGGGAGAGGGAGGGAGAACTGGAGGTTCTGGGGGTGGGGGGGAGAAAGGCAGTTGAGGGAGGGGTATCTGGGGGAGGGGAGAAATGGAGGCCCCGGGGGTGGGGGGGTAGGTGGAGGAGGGGAGAACCGGAGGGGGGGTGGGAGGAGAAGGCAGAGGGGGGAGGGATGGGGGGAGGGGAGAACTGGAGTGCTGGGGGGGGTGAACATCCCTGATGGCTCT